GGGCATCTTGGCTGTTTCCATAACTTGGCTATTGTGAATAGTGCCGCAATAAACATGGATGTGCAGGTGCCTCTGGAGTAACAGTCTTTTGGGTTAGATTTATTTTTTAACTGATACACATGTGTTGGATTTTTATAACAAACTAATATTGATTTTATGAGAAAAATTATAAAAAAGCAATGCATGCCCAATGTAAGAAGTTTAATAAGAAAGTAAACAAAGAAGAAAATTAAAATAAAAATTCCCTGCCTGGCCAACTCACAGGGAGCTACTTCCTCTCCAGGAAGGGATCAGTGCTGAGGTCTTCACTCACTGTAGGTCCCTGAAGCTGTCAAAGGCCAGCACGTGGGCTTCTGGAAGTGCAGCCTAGGACAACAGATGGAGGGGCCAGAGGCGTGGCCAGGGCGTGGCTGTGAAGACTGGAGGCGTGGCTATGTGCTGGGGGCGTGGCAGTGTGGATTGGGGCGTGGTTTGGCGCGGCCGGGGCGTGGCTCAGTGGCACAGCCCCTGCCTCTATAAGGGTAACGCCCAGAGTTTCATCCCCCAGCACCCCCCAAAAAAACCAGATACTCAGCATAAGAAATGCTGCAAGAATAGGGCCTATACATGTAATTGGGAAAACCAGGAAGCATCCTAAATGTCCATTAATGGGGGACTGCTTGAGTCCTTACGCTGGGGCATTCTCCAAGCCTTCCAATAAAGGTGTCGGTCAATAGTCACTGACAGGGACTGATCGTCTTGTTGCGTTACTAAGCAAAGAAGTGGTTATGAACCGCATGCATGGAGTGACTCGTTCATGGAAGGAAGGAAGGAGGGAGGGAGGGAGGGGCGAGGACAGGGAGGGAGGAGGGCTGCATGAACTTTTCCAGCTATGGGAGCCTGCTTGGAAAGAGACCACCACCGTGCACACCCCCACGTTAACAGATGTCCTCTCTAGGTAGAGATTACAAGTGGTATTTTGCTTTTTCAGTGTCTAATTTTCCCACAAGAAATGGATCTTACCTTGCACCGATTTCATTTTTTGGCAGTGTGGGGACAGAACCCAGGGCTTCACGCATGTCAGGCCCAGGCTCTGCCACTGCGCCTGCTAAAAATTCTCTCCTCTCCTCTCCTCTCCTCTCCTTTCCTATGTCTGTTTTGCTCCTGGTGACCCCTGGGGCCATGTACAGCTTGGTAAACAGTTGGACCTTAATATTTGAAGAATGAATGAATGAATAAATGAAATAACAATCAAATATGTTCCTTTAGGAAGACTTTGGTCCTCTCTCACCCTCCTTGTTTCCAGAAGTGGCGGGGGTCGTGGATGAGACTGGCCTGGCAGGTCTGGGGAGACAGATGGGCCCGGGGGGACAGGCGGGACAAAGGCCCCCTCCCTCCCGGGCTTCTGCTGCCTTCCTTCTCCAGGGCGATGCAGCGGAGCCCTAGGTAGCACCGCCCTCTGCTGGGAAGTTGGAGAAGCGCAGTCAGGGGGCTCGGGGAGCCCATTGGTCCCCACAATAAAATCCAGACCTTGGGACGGGACCGATGGACAGGTCATGGGGGCGGCTCCTGGGTTTTCCTTGGTGAAGCCAGGTGGATCTGCTGGAGACTTTCCAGGCTGGAAGAGAGGCAGAGAAGGAAGAGAACCGCCCCCACCCACCCTGGTTTCTTTCTAGCTGTGGTTGGAGTTTTCCTGTTGAGACATTTGGCCAACACTGACCTTGACAGAAATCAGCCTCAGTTCAACGTCAGCTTCCCAGGGTCTGTTTTGGAACTTCTGGCTCCCCTTGGTTTCTTCCAGGCCTTGTGTTTAGCACGTTCACTTTAACCTCACCATCCCCACAAAACCAGAATTCAAACCCAGTTTTTACCCAGACTTTTAAGCAAATGCCCAAGGTTGGCTTGGCACTGGGGACACTGGTGACACAGACCAAACCATGGCTCCCACGTTGCTGATGAGACAGAAATAGATGGGAATACCTCATTCAAACCCAGTAAGTGCCCAGAAAGAGAGGACAGTGCAAAGAAACAGAAGCAAACTAGAACTTTCAGAATCCTTTTCCCTCCAGGAGCAGAGCACAGTCTAGCCGGGAGGAAGGATAGCAAGAGGGAAGTAGGAGTTTCCAGAATTCCAGATGTAAGGAAACCTCTCCCTAAAGAGGAGAAACTTGTGCAATGCAGTTAATGTCTGCTGTGTGGAAAAACAGTTCAGCATAGGGAGCCTAGAATTGGGGTCCTGGGTTCAAGTTCTGCCTCTGCCCCCTTCCAGGGTTCCCACCTCCTTTATCCCCGAGAATTATGGTAATTACTGGATGAGATGATAAAAGTATAGCAATTGATACAGCACCTGCAACCAGGAGTGTATCCAATGAGACTAGCTCCATAGCCATGGCAACTGCTGCAGAATAGTGTGTGTTCCAGGGTCTGCGTCTGGGAAATATTGCTATAGTGACAGGGGTCCAGCAGACACTATGTATCCCCCAACCCATCCAGTTACTATCCTTTTTTCTTGCTTATAGAACTCTGATTACATTTAGGATGTGGCCAAAGAGCCTTTGATCTCAAAGAAGGTAGCACAGGCTTAGGATAAACTCCACCACCTTAACTTGTTCTGGCCCAAGATATGAATGGAAAGTCCTCCCATGCCTGCCCAGAAAGGTCTTTTTCTCCCTGACAAGAAGTCCTCACATTTGGACGTATGACGATGGGGCACTTGGATCTGAGGCAAAGGGAAAACCAAGAAATCCCAGAAACAGCCCCAGGCTCCCAATCGTGTCCAGCCTCCTCCCAAACTTTTTTTTTTTTGGTGACTTTTGAACTCAGGGCCTTGCACTTGCTGGGCAGGCGCTCCACCACTTGAGCTACAACTCCTGCCCTTTGTGCTTTGGTTAATTTTCAGATAGGAACTTGAGCTTTTATCCAGGGCCAGCCTCAGACTATGCTCCTCCTACCTCCACCTCCCCTGTAGCTGTGATTACAGAAATCACCACCAGGCCCAGACCCAAACTTCTCATTATTCTAGAAAGCTATCCCTGTGGGTCTCACAGGCTGCTGATGGCCTCCTGCATTGATTCAGGGCCCCAGCTAAGTTCAGAACTAGGAGCAGCGTGGGTTTGTCCATATGCTGACTGGTTCACCTTGAGGACAGTCTCTGGGCACCAGGGTCAGGGGCCTGTTTCCTTTGGAAAACCATGAGTCACCTCGGAAGCCCCGCTGGCCCAACCCTTCATTCCAGAGCTGCCTCCCCATCCCTCCCGCTCTGTCCTCCCTCTCCTGCCTATTTTTGTCCTTTGTCCACTTCCCTGGCCCTGACTAGGATGCAGAGGTATTAACATGCTTCCCTGATCCTCCAGGCTCCCTGTCCCCTGTCCAGAGTTGTCAGGAGACTAAGGCCACTGTAGCCGTTTCTGTCTGGCCTTCCCTGGGGAGGTAGAATTAATTGCTCCGTTGCTCCATTGGCTTGACTCCGACATTCCCTCTCATCCTCCTCCTGCCACAGGCCAAGAACTTTCTTCCCGACCAGGTCTCAGAGGACACTTTCAAAGGGAGTGACAAGCACATGGGGCACGGCACACGTGGCCCTAGTCCTTCACCCAGGGCCCGGGAAGGACAGTGCTAATCAGCCCCAGAGCTCTGGGTGAGCTTCCCTGTGGTGGGTAGGGGAGGCGAGCTGCCACTCCTGACCTCTGCCACCTGACTGAGCCAGGGGATGAATAGTGCAGTCACCCTGGACTCAAGCAAACCGCCCTGTGGCCTGCTCCTGCCACCCTCGTCCCCACCCAAGGGAGCCCAGCTGCTCTGCAGGCCACAGCTAGCCTGGAACTGCCATCCTCCTGATCTCTGCCTCCCAAGTAGCTAGGATTACAGGCGTGAGTCACAGCATCTTTGATTGTTATGACGGGTGGTG